AGGCTTAACAGAACTGTTCATGCTCGATAGAAACTGCTGTAACACAATGTAAATACTACAAAATTTACATGTTCTATCAAGTGCCCTCAAATTGGTACAGTTACTTAGTTATGTTATAACACAGAAAAAAATAATTATGTAATCTTGGAAAATTTGTGCAACTTGCAAGTGCATCAAGAACAGTGTCCTTCACTTGTTTATAAATACTAAATGTTGCATGTTAAACTTATCATTATATTTGTTAAAATATATGATTGTGAGATATATGTCTTTTGACTTCAATGAACTGAATTAAACCGAGATAAAATAAATAGAATGCCTAATGCCATTAATATACCTTAATTTTTTAAGAATAAATTCATTTCCAAATGTTTGAATTTTAATAATTGATGCATAATTTTAATTCTATTACACTGCTCTTTTTGGAAGAATAAAGGTTGAAAATTTTGAAATGTTAAAATCTACATTAATAATTAAAATCAAAACAATGTCTTTATATATTGATTATCAGTTATATAGAAATGTGTTTTTTAAATAAATATAGGATAAAATAAAAACATATAGATTTTACAGTTGAAATGCTTGTTGTGGTATAAAATGCATGAAACCCATTGTCGACTAATGAGAAATATCACATTTCATCCCTGTGTTTAAAGGCCTATTTCTCTAATATTTTGTTGTATTTCAACCTTTGAATGTTAGATTGAGATCAACCAAGAGAAACTATCTAACTTTTATGGCCTGGAACCTTGCCTGTTGTTTGTTTTGGAACACTCTTAACATGTTAAAATATGCATTTTTTTTTTCAAATTTTATGACATGTTGCCATGGTAACAATGACACATAGCAACCAATTCTTTGCATAACTTTCAATAACAATGTCAACGACTTTAAAAAGAGTTTTAAGAAATTCAGAAACAGTGCATACCACATGTACAGTTCTTATATAAATGTTCAGGTCATTATAGATGGTAGCGCTTAAAAACTTTTCATGACAATAGCTACATGCTCATTGCTGTTGTCATTGGTTAGTAAGCATTCTGAGATTATTGCGTAAGCCATGCATGTCCCCTACTTGGTTCCCCTTCTCTTTAAGATGTCATTTTATAGAATGCAAAAGCTATGACCAAGGTAAAAGTGTTTAAGATTTTGAGGTCATGCATGCGTTTAATCTAAAAAATAATAATCGACATAAAGACGCAAAAATCAACTCATCTTTTCAACATCTTCTTTTGGCTCTCATATTTACCCTGTTGACCTTTGGAATATAGCGCAACACGAACCCATTCTTAAACCATTATAAAAAAATTAAATCGCCATTAATATATCTAAAGTCAATGTAAGGTAACGTAATTCAAACTTGATATCTAACTCACCAAGATACACTCACATGCCGAAATTCAGCACAATATCTGGAAGCGTTTAGAGATGATGTGCAGAAAACCAAGTAGGACAGACTTACAGACAGATATGAGTAGTATTCCGGAATTCTGCAGATTTGTACGTTTTCGGTTTTAGATGTTATTCATGTTACTTCCGTAATAAATAGTTTGAAACTGCATGGCTGAGTTACAAATCTCATTTATTCGAGTGAATACACAACATATCTGGCGACGAGGATGGCTACTGGACGTATTGGAAGAATCGTTGCGTTCGATCCGGCGATCGAAACATGGACAGCGTACGAGGAAAGGCTGGATAATTTCTTCACAGCAAACACAGTGGACGACAACAAAAAAGTTCCCGCGCTACTGAGCCTCGTGAACCCCAAAACATACGCATGCGTCGTTAAGAGACTTAACAGCACCCGAATTACCTAAGGCCAGGATATACAAGCAACTTACGAAAGCGCTGAAGGAACAGACTCTCCCAAGGCCGTTAATATTAGTATAAAGATTTAGATTTCACAAGCGAGACCAGCAGATGGGGGCAGGTTCGTGAGTACATTGCAGTTCTACGTAAACTTAGTGAGTTTTGAAAATTTAAATACGTCCTTAACGAACACATTCAAAAGAAACTTCTTTCGGAGAAAAAAACTCACTTACCAATCTGCGCTGAGATAGCCACTGCGGTGGAGATGGCGACAAATGACGCCCTGGAAATTCAAAGGAAACACCTTTCCACTACGCCCGGTGTCCCACAAGCTAAGTGCACCTAAGAGTAAGAAAAGAATTCATAAAAAACTACGGCAGCCCAGAGGTGTTTCAGATGTAATGGAAACCATACCTCAGATGACTGCATGACTGCAGATTTATCGATGAAACTTGTTGACAGTGTGGGAAAAAGGGACACATACAGCGAGCATGTCGTTCAAAACCAGCCTCTGTGAAACCACTGCATACGAACAGTAGAAAACATGTGCATGAAGTGCAGGTAGCTGACGATTTCGAATCTATGTTTTCACTTAGAGTCAACGCTATGGGAGGACTCAAGGAAGCTATCTGGATAAATGTGAATGGTCAAGAATATCCCATTGAACTGGACACAGGGTCAGCGATTTCAGTTATCAACAGTGAAACTTACAAGCAAAATTTTTCAAATGTAAGGTTAATCGACACAGACATAAACCTAAGAACATACTCTGCAGAAAGCATCACCCTCCGTGTGTTCAGTCAACGTAGAGGTGGATGATCAACAACAGCAGTTAATCTTGTATGTTGTTGACAAAGGGGGACCACCCTTATTTGGTCGAGAGTGGCTAAATAACCTCAGACTGAACTGGGCCGAAATCAAGACACTAGAGACTAGAAAACAAAGTGTGAGTGAAGTGATTGAGAAATACAAAAATGTGTTCACTGATGACCTGGGCAAGTTACGGGACATATCAGCCAGAATAAAAGTAGACGAGTCGGCGACACCCAAGTTTTGCAAAGCTCGAGTGGTACCATATTCGTTGCGTCCCAAGGTTGATCAGGAACTAGACCGTCTTATCGAGACTGGAATCCTCAGTGAGGTAGAACACAGTAAGTAAATGGGCTACTCCCATTGTTTCAATACCAAAAAAGATGGAACTGTGAGAATTTGTGGGGATTTTAAAGTCACAGTGAAACCTGTCTTGGACATAGACCAGTACCCTCTACCCAAGATCGAGGACATATTTGCAAGTTTGGTGGGAGGACAACAGTTTACAAAACTGGACTTGAAGAATGCGTATCTTCAGATGACAGTGAGTAGAGGGACAGACATTATCTCACTATAAATACTGATCGTGGTTTATTCCAGTACAACAGGCTCATGTTTGGAATAACCTCCCGCCCGCAATATGGCAGAGGGCCATGGATACAGTTCTTTGAGGACTCGAGGGAGTACACTGCAACATGGATGATATTTCCACTTTTGTACAAAGTGGAAATTACACCAGGGACAACATGGCGTCGGCATACAGACCAGATAAGATCTGCAGATTTCACCAACTCTGCGCAAATACCTACAACCCTGAATCTAGATCAACAATTGATTCGATCGAATGATGATACATTGTCGGCCGAAACATCAGATGACCATGATCGTGACCGGGACAAGTTAATTGTGACACCAACCAAGAAACAAGTATCGGAACTGACGCCTATACCGACATCTTCACCGGCAGCAACTTTCGTATCCGAAAAACGCTATCCAACCCGTTCAGTTCGTAATGTTGTGCCAAAACGCTACCAGCAGTAATAATGGACTGATTTATATATAGAAATGTATGCAATGCTTGATTTCTAGATCAGTAATGCTTTGTGATTGTTTATGTTACATGTAACTAAGTAGTGCGAAAATGTAACCAATTTTTTTTCCTCTCTCTCATCTTTAAATGTAAATTTAAAGTCTAGTCAAAGTCTAGTCATGAATGTAAATCTAGTCAAAGTCTAGTCATGGATGTATTTTGTTTACAGATGTCCAAGTAATACATATATTCCTTCTACTTGTCATAATTTGATTTTTATTATTAAATGAAACATGAAATATGTGTCCATCACATTTAAAGGGGGGGGGAATGTAGTATTCCGGAATTCTGTAGATTTGTACGTTTTCGGTTTTAGATGTTATTCATGTTACTTCCGTAATAAATCACTCGGAGTTCCTCGGATGACTCGTACCTCGCACATAACCTCGGACGTCAACGGTGATCTACCATCTTACTAATTCAGTCATGTGATATATTATTTGAATTTCTTTCAAATACCATACATTTGAAATCGGAGTTATTTTGTGGCACACTCAACAGTTTTTTCTTGCTTTTAAAGCCTGTTAACATGAGGATGTAATCAAAACCTGTTTACGATAAAGAATTGCATAATTTAAGAAACATTTTCAAAGAACGTTATGCAGAGCGAAGTATGAAATGAGTGATAAGGCAGTTTCCGGCGGAGAAATGTAAGGATCTATTGCGTATTCCTCCACCAATCACATCCGAGGTTTGAATGGAGCGGAGCGGAGTCAGCCGAGGATTGCCGATTGGTAATAAATAGTTTGTAACCGCATGGCTGAGTTATAAATCTCATTTATTCGAGTGAATACACAACAATATAGGGATAGGCGGTCCTACTCAGAGGAAACCCCACTTTCACAGGTAGGGAACTAATAAAGTACAAAAATGTCCTAATGCTCTTAAATCACTGTGGTTTGTCAAACACTGAATAATCTTTACAAACATACATGAGTTCATGTCAAAAGTGGATATATTTCCTTTGTAGCAATGGGGGATTTTCTGTTACTATGGCGATTAGTATTTGCAAAATATTCCTGGGTTCATATAGAAGTCTCAAAAAAATACTTTTTAGTTTAAAAATTGAATTTGGTATCCACCGATGAGATTTAATTCCATAAATTACTCGCACATATGACAATTTGTCTCTTTCTCTTACAATGTAATCAAAACATCCATTTTTGTTACTAGGCAACCGATTGTTTATATTAAAAAACACACGCTTTTGAATTTTAAATTCGAAAAAGGATATTCCTCTGCCTTTGAATTTGCTTCATTATGTAAATTTTTCTTGATTTCTTTCCAGGTGTATGCATGATATATAACACTGCCCTGGGAAGACTACAAACATATGATAATGTGAACTGTAAAGATATCATTCCTAAATGTCCTGATAATTATTTGTCTACAGTTGCGCACCTCTGTGAGTATTTAATTTTTTTTAAAGTACTTTGAATTTTGAAATAATAGTATATACCTTAAAATTGATGTATCTTTGTTGTGTAATTTCAGATGCACCTTGCTACCAATTCGTGGATATCTTTAACTTTACAAGAGGAAATAAAAGAAATAGAACAATCGTTGGAGAGAAAGAAAAAATTACATTTCACGGCATTACGTAAGAAAACTGTGTAAAGGAGGTTAGATCCTGTTGTGTTCAGCCTACATCAAACAATAGGAAATTCAAAGATCTCAGTATCATAAACGCGTCGAATTCAAAAGAGAAAACTGATCACTTTTCTCTTGAAAAAAAACCTCATGATAAAAAAATAATCTCCTTAATTAATGACCCTGGTGTTGAATTTATTCATGGGATTTTAATTGAATATAACTTAATTGGCAAAGTTGAACATACATATAGGTCAAGAATAAATTCTGTCTTAAAGCTATGGATCGAACTTCTTTAAAGTTTGTTACAAAGCTCTGCCCGTATAAGACAAGGACATCCCTTGCTCTGAGAAATTGTTTCTAAATTATCAATGGTCATGGAGACATTTTATCTTCAATAAAAAAACTGCTATAAGCATTCCTTATGTAAAACTGTTAGTTCGTTTAGCTTATGTTATTCATGTTTTTTGATTTACTATCCCAAGAATTATTTGTAAAATTACAATTCAGCATATTTCATATAAAAAACGAGCCATATCTCCATTCAAAAACAAAATGTTTAATGATTTGTAAAAAAAATTAAACCAATATTTGTTATAGGTGCTATACGTATAATGAAACTTTTCTGAAAAGCATGCACTATTTTACTTCAGCGACTCGGATACTTATATTTAACGTAGGTCGCAGGTTTGCTGACGTCATTAAAACTGGGTACGCAATTCATAGATTTAGGCGACTTTCTTGTGCACATCTGATTATGACGTCACGGCGAGAAGGGGAAAAATTCAGTACATTATCTAGCTATAATATGTTTTACGGTGTGACCGTTGGGGCGAGCGCAGTTATACCATCAAAAGCATACTTGAAACATTGATCAGCTACTTCAAGCATCAAGTCGCACAAAGCATCTCGACTAGCTGTGACGTCACATGACGTAACGGAACTCGTCGGATCTTACGGAAACGGCCGAGCGTCTAGTTTAAACTGTAGACCTAGTACAATTTTGGTCGAAAAACATTGCAGAGTTATTTTTTGTTTTTTGAAAGATTTCTACAAACTGAAAGCTTTTTATGCTTTACGTTATTGTTTATTTATTTATCTATTTCACGGAAGCAACCGACATGACTTAATTAGCATATCGTCAAATTTCGTAAGTTTCCGGTGACGTCATTTGTATCATTTCCGAAGGGCAAGGTGAAGGCCAGTGTTGTGGCATGGGGGTATTTTTTTGAATAAGGTAAGGCAAAATCATTTCGTTAAGATTTCGGTAAGAAACAATGTTCCTTTATTTTTTTACTATTTTTGATTTATTCGCGCACAGGACATTGGGTAGTGCAGGAATTCTGGGAATGTTGCACAGAGAAATTTGGCTGACGTATGTACAGATTTCAATCCGAATTTTCTCTGTTCTTACACGTTAGTCTATTGAGCTCGCTTTGCGAGCGTCGCTTCGCTCCGCTCGCTGCGCTCGCGATAACTTTTTTTGAAATCGGTAGTTTATTGTAACAGAATACATAGAAAATGCTGAAGTTATAAAAAAATAATGAAGGCTCATTTTGATTCGGATGACCATCACTGAAAGTGTAAGAAAGCGTTTCATTATGTGTTATCCTTCGCATCTTCTCGGGTCTATTCTGAGAGCACATGTACTAATGTTTCGGAAATAAATTTAAATCCTTGTATCATGTATGATTTATTTATATTAAATACATGTATTAAATGAGTATAATTATAAAACATATGTTATCTAACTCCGAATTACACTCGATACTCCCTCCTCAGAAACGCACTCATTTTAGTATACACTTTCAGTGGAAATGCACTAACAAACTGTTTATTACCATTGTCTTCTACGATAATTTATCTACACAATCATATATGGCATGCATCTCTTTGTCTTCTTTCATCTCCGTAAACAGCGTGAAAACTCTGCTCACCGATGGAAAGTTGATCTCAATTACATGTATGAAACGGTATTTGCTAATCTTGGACAAATCTTTATACAGGTTGATCACAAATTTAAAACTGCTAAGGCACAACCAGGGTAATACTAATGAAACATAAACTAAATTATATATAATATATATACATTTTTTGAGTGGCATTGATCTCTTGTAAATAACCAGAGGCACGTAGGATATGACCCTCTCCCTCCTTTCCATTTTTAACTTCCTAACGCCGGGGATGAGTAAACGTTTTCCATTTTTTAAAATTTTAACACCACCCTACATGTGCATGTCGGGAAAAAAAAACAAATTTCAAACTGTCTCTTTTTACGTATCAGTCGAAAACAAAAAAAATATGTATTTAAAAACAGCGTAAAGAGATAAAAGGGTAACATTATTAATAACATGCATTACGTATTAAAAATCCAAAATAGGAAAAACCCTAGAAAAACAGAATTATCTTCATACCTACGACTATACAAACATACTTAGATCACAGATCTGCGATTTCAACGGGGATAGGGAATCTGCCTTTTCCAGAGGGGAATACAAGGTCGCTTTTTTTTGCAAATTCCGTCGAGAATCCACGCATGAATAAAACAAAACAAAGGAAGGATAAGAGATAAACACATAACGAAAATATAGACAAGAGGCCCACGGGCCTTATAGGTCACCTGAGTATCATGTAACAACTTTCCAGCGATTGCATTTGGTTCATGTTTTAATCCAAAAGCCATAAAATTCACAAATTTTGAAGGAAGCACCATTGCTTATCAAAGGACAGATTTCAAAGCATTGATTTATTTTTAGTCAAAGTAACCCCGTGGTACCCCTGACCCACCGGCCCTGAAATTATCTATTTTGAAAGAGCCCCCTTTCTTCATTATAAGGCCAGCATTTTTTTTATGTTCAGGTTTAGTTATGAACATTAGAATAATTTTTTTTTAAATATGTGTTAGATAAATGTGTAGACATTGTTCTAAAATTTACTTGATGCCTAAAATTATAATTCCTATCATAAAACAGACAGGGAGAATTTTATTGGGGAGTAGGGTGAACATTTTTTCAATTAAGTATAAAATAATTTTTCTGGCTGATACAAATGATACTACATGCCTGTATATATTTGTATATTCTTGCCTTTTAATAGTTGGATTCTTCAGGTTATTGTTTATTTCTTCCTCAAATGGACTTAACTTCTCCCATAGTTTTATTCACTACATGATACATCTGGGGCCTGTTTCATCAAAGGTCGTACGCCCAGTCGTAGCGCTACGCCGGCGTAAAGTCAGGACTAGCACGAAGATTTGCGTTTCATGAAAGAGTGTATCGTTACGCCTGACTAAATTTAGGCCAAACTTTTACGTCTACTCAATGGTAGGCGTAAGTTTGGGCGTAAAGTTATATTAGGCAATTTTACTGATTTTAAAACAATTTAGCGAGTTTTAAAGAAAAAGTACGGTTTTAAGAAGTCTTTAAAATACAAACATTGCATTATTTAATCATACATACTATGAAGTGAGGGGGGGGGGGCGGGGTTATGTGACAACCATTTGGGTTGACTGAAGAACTTCATACTATTATTTTAATAGAATTCTTCTTAGAGGGAAAAATTGTCATAATAGAGATTTCGTCTACCACCATTTCTCATAAGGTACTGTAAATCGAGTAAAGTGACTACACATACATGTATAACTATATTTTTACCCCCGTTTTATGTCCGTCTGTTGCGTTTTTGGGTGCCCATCTCTTTTCCACAACTTCTCTCTTACCACTGAATGAAATTTCACAGAATCTTTATTAAGGCAATATGAGCTGCATGTTTGAGAATTTTATTTTGCTGTGAAATTGTGTTATTGTCATTAATGTGTATGTAGCCTAAATATATATGATAAAAATACAAAATAAAGTTTAAAAATGATTCAGGAGAAATATTTCTGTACAACCAAATATTCAGTATTATATAAGAAATCATTATTGTACAGGACAACAATAATTAAATTTTGATTCAATCAGAGCTTATAAAAAGTTCTTCTACAGCAAATATGAACAACAGACGTATATAAACGTTCTTTTTTCCTGTCACTAAAATAATTAATTACAAATTTGAAATATTTTTTCCGATGCCAAACATGCAGCTCATATTGCTTTAAATAGTGTCATTGTGAATTAACTTACTCTTTGATCGGAATCTTATTTTGGGTTTTACATAGCAAAACACGAACACTGCCATCATATTCCTAAAGGAGGAGGGTGATTCATTAAAATTGTCTATTTTGATTTAAAAAAATCTTTTACCCCATTTTTTTGGGGGGGGGCATCTGTTTCAAAAGGACAATCATACTCTTTATGTTAATTTTCTACATTTAAATTTCAGTAAAAATGATACATCATACATCCATTTATACAACTGTGGATTTTTTTTTATCATATTCGAAAAGTCCATTTCTTATTTACTCCTCATCCACAAGTGTGGATCTCAATGGGATGGGAGAGTGTGTCCAGAACCTCCCGAATTTGCAGAATATTTAACATTTAATGTACAGAAATAGAGGCGAAGGGACATGTAATTATTTTTCTAGGTATCTGGAACAAGTGAAATCCCCATATAGCGAATCTAAAACGGAATCCGGAGGGAGTCTCATAGACAATAGGAGATTTTTTTATTGGGAAAATATTACTTTTATTATATCGATGTATTAAATACGGTTTTAATTACACAGTTAAATTCAAGAAATGAATTACTCCTATGCAGAAAACATCTATCTTTATTTTTTCATGATTTCCTCTGAAAGAGTATATAAATCTTACATCCTCTAAGATCTAAGCGCAAATAAAGCACATATAGGATATATAACAATATACATTTTTTGAATGTCCTGGATAACTTACATTTTTTTTTTTTTTGAGAAGAGAAGCAGAGAATTTATGTAAGAATACTTTTGTAGCAATTTTTTGGAATATCTTTCTCCCTCTTTCTTCTCTTTCTCTCTCACAATCTCTCTCTTTCTCTTTCTATCTCTGCATACTTGAGAAACGGTACATCAATTTTAAGCCCTAGATAGTAAAGAATTTTTGTCTATAATATGTGAACATAGTCTTGTATTCGAAACTGTTATACGAACCTTTGTGTCATTTTACTAAACAATAATATTTTAATGAATCATATGAATTGACAAAAAAAATTAAGACTTAGAAAGGATTTTCTTACGTGTACCTTAGTAGTTAATGTGTAAAATTTATTTTCTTGACTTAATATGGGTACATATGTTTATTTTTTACACATTATTTTTGCTTGCTGTATATATTTCTTATAAAATAATTTTTTAAAATCTTATACTGTCTCAAACTTAATCATTAGTATTTTTCAGTAGAGTCGGTACATGTGTGTATCAAATATTGAATTTTATTATCAAAGGCGAAGGCATTAACTGCTTTCAATTTCGGAAATAAGTGGGGGTGGCTGTAAAATTCCAAAATAAATGGATTAGATTTATTTAGAAATACATGCACATGTACGACCATTTATTACTTTCAATTTTTGACTTTTATTATTGATTTAAAAAAAAAACGAAAACCGGTTTCTTATAAGATGTATCTCCTACATTACTCTATTAATCCATGCATGTTTCAATCAGTGCCGGAATTCTTCAATCTATAATCTGTGTTATTCTGTACTTTGATCTGCTACAATATTACATATTATAGGTTTTAACACAGTGGACAATGTTTATGTTTTAGCGCCTGCGCAATGCTGTGTTGTCAAGGACTTAGTCCTGCGACTAAGCGTATCTTTTACGACTAGACTTACGCCATTTGGTGAAACGCAAATTACGCCCGACTAAATTTTGGCGTAAGCCCCGGAAGTACGCCTAAGTTAAGGCTTAAATCTACGACTTTTGATGAAACGGGCCCCTGATGCATAAGCAACCCTTTTCTGAAGAATGATGCCTAGACTGTAAGCTATAACAGAGTCCTAAACAATGTCGCTGGCAATATGCAATTGCTACCACGGGCAGTTTAAAACCTGGGGAGGAAAATAATTCACACAGATACTTCTGAAACGAATACATAATTAACTCACCAGCATGTCATTGTGCAACAAAGTCGTCAGCATTTTATTTGTCCTTTGAACGGGTGAAACGTTTTGAATGGCATTCGTATCAAAGAATGTTACAATAAACCAAGCTATCTTCTAGAACATCTGGCTTTATTTACCCGCCGTTTGTGGCGTTTCATCTATAAAACCGGAAGTGCGAGTTCGTAAATTTGAAATCTCGATCCCACTCGGAATCGACATCGGAAAGAAAAAAATTATTTTTTTTCTGAAAATTCAAAACCTTGAGCGCAGGGTTTGTAAAACTGCAAATAAAATAAATCCTGGTCTTACATATGTAATTAGATCATTAGTATTGTATATTAACCAGGAGCAAAGGATTATATGTTCAAAGAATTCATGCATTTCACTATACAATCATTAGAGCCCCCCCCCCCCTCCAAAACAAGAACCCCTGACCTATTCACAATTTTGGTAGAGGCACTCTTGCTCATCATAACTATGTACTTAGTTAGTTTATTTAATACCCAGGAGCAGAGAAGAAGATTTTCAAATAAATCATGTATTTTCACTATATATAATCAATAGAGCCCCACCCTAACACCAGAACCCCTGACCCTGGGGCCATAAAATTCACAATTTTGGTAAAGGCACTCTTGCTCATCATAAATATGTACTTAGTTGGTTTATTTAATACCCAGGAGCAGAGAAGAAGATTTTCGAAGAAATAATGCATTTTTACTACCTATTTATTTAGCCCCGCCCTAGCACTAGAACCCCTGACCCCAGGGCCATGAATTTCACAATTTTGGTAGAAGACTCATAGCTGATTACAATCATGCAAACAGTTTGACTGCTTGATGTCCAGGAGTAAAGAAGAAGATTTTTAAAGATTGCATTAATTTTAGTGGTATTGGCCCCACCCCCTAGGCCCCGGGGGGCAAGGATCATGAAATTCACAATTTTTGTTCTCCTTTACCCATAGATGCTTTGTGCCAAATTTGGTTGAAATTGGTTCAGTGGTTGCTGAGAAAAAGCTGAAAATGTTCAAATGTTAACGCACGACGGACGACGGACGACGCACGACGACGGACGAAAACAGATAGCAATAGGTCACCTGAGTTTACTCAGGTGACCTAAAAAGGAAACTAAAGGACTGATTTTTGGTTTACGCCTTTTACGTGAATTTTCACTAATATTAGACGTAATAAGGGAAACATGACTAGTAATTGTTTCATTGAATTATTATGATACTGGTAATTTGAAAGCGGATATAAGTGAATTTCTTTTTTCTTAAAATCCATATAATTTTTTGGGGCTCTGTATACCGGATCGATATTCATGACGTTAAGCGTGAAGTCGCGATATGTTATGACGTTGTTCTTTAAAATACTACATTGTTCAATATAAAAGCAATTATCTCCAATTAAATTACGAAAAAATGAACCCGAAGACGAACATATCAATTTTTAACATAGATTTATTTCAAATCAATTTTATTTTTTAAATACCAAAGGATAAACAAATTCTTCTGAACGATTTAAAAGTTATTGATATTTTCTTTAATCAAAACCTTGCCTGAAAACAAACGAAAAACGACGTTTTTCCTATACAATTCAATGTAATACCGTTGGAAATGTAACTCCAACAATGACATCTTTGGAATTCAATTACACAAAAACGTTGCAGACGAATTTTGTAAAATTTTCAGAGAATGGAATTCAAGGGTAGAGAAATCATATAGGCTATTTTCATGGGTATGTTTTCGAACACTTTTAAAAGCCCTGTAAACACGCGACCTACGTTAAGTCTATGTAACGAAGATATTGTGTTTATCTGTCTGCAAAAGTTCAACAACTTAAATGGGTAATTTGATAAATAAACTATCAATAATTTAATTGTCTAAGAATAAGAGATCATATGTTCTTAGAAAGATCGCATTTATCAACAACACATTTTTTCTTCTTAAAATTCCACTATTTTACCAACTTTTTCTCCTTATACATGTACCTATGGATTCAATTTTATATTTCTTAAATTTTTATTTTCTTTTTTTTTGTCCACCTTAATTTCTTTTTCCTCTCTTTTTATTTCTTCATTTTGATAATTATTTTATATTTTAGGTATCTTGCCATTGGAATAACTGGTATTGTTATGTTTGGTACGTTAGTGATTGGTATGATTATTCTAAGGACAGTGAAACATAGAGGACGGGGAAAACGAAAATGGAGAAGAAACAAATCAGGTAGGTGTATGGAGTAGGTTTGAGGATGTTAGTTGCAGTGTTAGGGTTTAGGTGTGTGCGAGAGAGGGTGTGTGAGGGAGGGAAGGTCAGTGTGTGAGAGAAAGAGAGGGAGAGACTAAATTTAAATATGCCCAATTTATGGCAAATGAGTGTTCAGCATTCAGTTGGTTTAATCAAATATTTATCCAATATATGGCACAACAACACCGTGACATACAAACGGGACAATTGACATTTGTAGAATTTTTGCATGATCCTTTTAAATTTTGTTTAATTCCTAAAAGTATTACGTTTCATAAAATAACGGTTTTCAGAATTTAAAAAATCTACTTTTATGGAGAAGAATAAAACATGTAAAAGTAAGATTAATATCAGTGTGCTCCATAACAAAAAATATTGAAAATACACTGGTACTTCTTCCTCCATTTTGTATGCGTGTTCAGAAAAGTTGAATACGTTTCCATATTTACCACGGTCTCAGAAAATCCAGAAATGAATGTAAGTAGACCAAAAATTTTGATGTAATCTTTTTAAAAAGTTGTAAGAACATATTTCTCATCTTTGCACTTTGTTTACTTGGTGGCACGCAGCCTACGTAAAGAGCCGTGATGATGTCTGCACTTAAGAACATGCAAAATATGCGACAAAACATTTTTTCAAATATCTAAGGAATGATGAATATTCGATCTGAAACATTGCTTAAGGATATCCGATCCTCAGCTAGGAAGGATAACTCCAAAAATTCATATTTAATTTGAAATGTATCAAGATGAAGCTTGAAAATGATATTTATCATGCAACAATTTTCATTATATTCATCTTTATAAGATTCAAGGTTTTTGGAAGTCTTACAAAGAGTCTTATAAAAGTTGACATATGTACCCTATAAATGGGAAAAAATAATAAAGTTTTAGAGAAACAAGACTTTCTCTGAATCTAGCCTTAGATACCAATGATTATTAGCATGAAATGAAATAAGAAGTGATAAGTTGTATCTTGGCAACCATAAAAGCCTTTTACACTATATATGTATCATAGAATATATGACGGAAATAGAAGACAAAAAATACCAAATAGGTATAAAAATCATGACAATTTTTCTGAATGGCTGGATACCTACCGTTTTTTTAACCTAAAATATATTTTGTTGATCAATTTGCATTTAGAAAATGCATAGCTGATATTCCTATTCGCTTTTTCTGCAAAAAATATTAGAGATTTGTAGATTTTCCCTATATAATATGATTAATTTTAATCTTTATCTGAAAAGAAATACTGTGGATAAATTTACGTAGCTCTGAGGATTCAGAGATACTTTTAGGAGTATGTTTGATTACTTAACTGCTTGTTTCATAAACCTGACCATCGGACTACCTTAATTATATTGATATGAATTTTGCATTTACGAATTGTGAATCTGTTTTTAGGCGAGACAAGTAACAGCTTTTTAAAAAGCTTGCCTGACTAAATCAATCAATATCTGTAAGAAGAGTGTTAAACTTTTTGAGCAGTAATTTTGTGGGCTTAAAATATGTCCTTACTATGATATATTTTGAGAACCTTGTGTAAATGATCATTGATTTTATTTAACGTGTAGAAGAATCATCGCTACACTGCAAACTGCTGACTTCAACATTATTTGGGGGGGGGGGTGGTTCTGTTGTAGGGGTGGTTTGCCCTTGGATCTAAATTGATTTCAAGTTATATTGTATAACACCTATTATAAAATCTGATGTCAAATTAGGCATTGTAAACATTTTAAAAGATGGTTGTAATTAAAGGTACCCATTTTGTTTGAGTGTATTATCTCCACTGTGTAAATAATGGTGTGTTCATTAATGTTTTTCTTAAAATGGGGGGGGGGGTCCACTATCATATTTTGAGAATGAAATAAAATAAAATAAAGGTTTAGGACTTCGCTTTCTTACAAATTGTGTGCATCTGAACAGATCGAGACATACAGTTGTATAATAGATCATGCATCTGGAAAACATGACTTAATTGTTGAATTGCGTTGTTTATTAGTATTGGAATAGTCCATTTATGGATTAAACCAACAGCGGGATTGGGAAACAAATTCTTTAGTGTTGCATGTCTATATGTATACTGATATATACGATCTGTTGTTTAAAAGAATTAGATAGAATTTGTAAATAGAATTTTTAGGCATTCGAAGGAGTTAAAAAGTTAATTCCAAGGAAGTTAGCACACCCATTCGTACAATAGAACACTCCAAAGAAATGGCGCGAATTTAGATAACTACATTAGGCTCTAAAAAAAGCAATTAAACCCTTTCGTAGAAATATATGGACTGGTCCAGTAGTATAGAAATACAAACAAAGGACATACGGACATGCTGAAACGGTAAATCACATGGAATGATCTGCTCCATGCTAAAAGAGTAAAGGAAGTAAACGCTGCATTATTTTGCATCAGTACTATCATTCTTTTTTCTGAAAACTCTTTCATTTAAAATGCAGGTAAAGAATTCCAATGTAAATCAGCTCACACAAAATCTAGCTCTCTAGGTATGATTTATTAGTTTCGGATCTTGGAAATATCAATCCTTATACAGCCTGACGCCGTGACGTCAGGCAATCATGATAAGTTCTAGAATCTCCCTACGATAATAAGGAAGACCACATTTTAACTGACCTTATATAAAGTCTGTGCTAGTTTATCATGTTCTCTGTTTAACAGTAGTTGTATATTTGCATTATCTTTAGGGCTGGGGCGATACAACTTTTTCTATATCGATACGTATCACTATATTTGAGCCAATATACGATATGTATTACGATATGTTTAATTGCTCATAAAATCCTCTTTTGCGGTGAAATAAACAAATTATTTCTTTGCAAATGAGAATAATTTATTCAAAATAGTTGTTTATATGTTGTAAAACAAAAATATTTTACTTAAGTAGTATTAATTATTATTTATTTCATATCTGTATTTATATTTAACTTAGTTATTTTATATATTAAACCCTAAATGTTAAATAAACAAAGAAAAACAGAAGTCAGATTTTATTGGGCGATATTTCGATATTTTTTTCAAATGTATCGATATGTGTATCGTCCTCACATATATCACGATATCTGGATATATCGTCCCAGCCCTAATTATATAAGTGTAAACAAGGGGAAATATATATTTGTTTGTTATTTAACGTCCCTTTCGAGAATGTTTCACCCATATGAAAACGCTGCCACCTTTCTGTAGAGAGCATCATATTTTGACCTAAACTTAGCACTCTTGAAAGGCCATTGATGTGCGAGGGATCTTTTTTGTGCCAGCAGCAACTACAACACAGCACCTCTGTTTATAGGATCTCGTTTGAACGGATCGACACATTCAACAATGGGATTAAGAACCGTGACGTAAGGATCAACTCCTTACTTCGCGACTCTAGCGCCGCCGCACAAAGCAATGCATTGCACCACGCGGGCGAACCCAGGTGCTTGCGGACAGGCCCCCCCCCCCCCCCTTCGATATAGACCCCTGGGCTTTTTCGATTTTTTTTTTTCATAAAAAATCTTTCATTGACATATTTGTGATAAGATCTATACCAGCAAATCGAAAAATTACCTAAAACAAACGTTCTATTAATTCCACCCTTCATTCTCTATATAAAAATCAACATATAGAGAGGGTATATATATTTTTATAAAATGTAAGTTTAAGCAAATTTTCTGAATTGATAGGATAGATTGCATCACAAATGTGTCATCCATATAAAATTTATGTGAAAAAAAGTCTAACAGGCCCGGGGGTCTATATGGGGGGGCGGGGGTCCTGTCCTCAAGCGCCTGTGCGGGCGATTGGAAATTAAACGAATACCATGTGCTAATGCTTTAAAAGAGAATGAAAACTGTTAATTTTATGGAATTCTTACACATTCGCCTTTTCTATTGTAACAAGGGGATTTGGAATTTACCATGCGATTCCCCACCTCTGGTTACTTATACTTGAATATTAAATTTCATCACCTTACGTGTTAGATAGCATGTAATGTGCTAAGTAAGGCAATTTAAATGCCAAGCATCTTTACAATCTTTTGTATATACATTGATGTGGCTACATTGATGCAACCTTTGTAAATAAAGTACTTGTGAATTGTATTTACCACATGAAATGCATCTAAAGTGTAGAGAGAGTAACGTTCCTCAAATACATAAAAACTTGTGGAGACACATATAAGGATTTTAAGACCAAAATGACTTCAGACTGTAAGCCTTGGGTAAAAAAAGGCAATTTTGATTTTCGTTTTTATTTTTGGATTGTGTTCTATACAATTGTTTTTAAAAAAAAATTTAAAAAATGTACTTATCCACGTTTGTCTGAAATTAAAACAGGTAATGAAACTTGTATCCTTTCTGCTTTTGACGTTTATTTTAAAACTTGCTCAGTTTGAAGCCATTTTTGAAGGAAAAAGTGTCTCTTTGTCTACACTGAAATTATGAGGAATGAAGCTTAATGTAATTAAGAAATAAAGTCCGCGTTTTGGTGAATGTTGCAGGATAACCTCCGAGGTCGAGAAATGTTGCTTGAAATATAAAAGCCGAGGAGTTAGCCGAGGCTTTTATATTTCAAACAACATTTCGAGACCGAGGAGGTTATTCTGCATCATTCACGACAACAAGGACTTTATTTCTATTCTACCAAGGGCGATAAATACGGCCGATTGTTTCCTCTATAGAGAAATGAATTAGGTCACCATGTTTCGATTACGCTGTCCTATTTAACGCCAAAGAGAAATTTTGTTGACTTACCTGTATATGGAATGCAGATGATTTGAGCTTTCGTTGCTTTAAAAATAGTCTTGTTTAATTACAAATTTGTTCGTAACATGTATTGATCAGTTAAAATGAATATACAAAAACAAAATCATGTTCTTGTTTTACTGCTAAAATCACGTTGTTTAATGTGTAGGGAGGTCCGTGGAATAGCCCCGCTTAGCTATAGAAACCGACATTCATCAGCAACTTGATGCAATT